CAATGAATATGCCTGCTCCATTCTCACTAGTTCTAAAGTACAGTAAAATTGCATTATTTAAATAGCTGGAATCTACCTTGCGAAATTGCCTTTGCTTGTAAAAATACACAAGTTTGCATAGTCCCTAAAGATACTCAATTTAAAATTTTCTGTTGGGGGCTGGGAAATGGTTTAATCGTTCAAGTGCTTGCCACACAAACAAGAGACTCTGAGTTTGAATTCCCAGCACTATGAAAATCTGGGTGTGACAGCTTACTCCCAGCTCTGGGGAGGTGGGGAAGAGGATGCTTGGGGCCTGTTGGCCAGGTAGTCTGCCCAGTCTGTTAGTTCCAGGCTCAGTGAATATCTGTGCTTCAAAAAAATAAGGTGCTTGAGAGTTGGAGGACACTTGGTGTCGTGCTGTGGGCTCTACACATGCACACACAGATCCTGTTGATATTTGGTTAGTCTTTATATTTCTAGTTGCTATAGACCGAACCTAAAGTTTTACACATATGTATGCTTGTCTTTTTGTAACCAAGGCTGGCATTTAACATACTTTCCTTGCTTCAACCTCCAAATCTTAGGATTACAGTTATGTACCACTACAGTGAAGGTGGGAGGTGCCATGTTCATTGTAGAAAATGGACTATTCAGAGCCTGGAGGTTCAGACATACTGCTGTAGGAGAAACTTGGAAATTAGCTCTCATGTAACAACCGATAGCACATGTAGCAGCTGCTACTGTCTCTAGGATTTGACATCCATTGAAACATTTAAAGCTTTGAGTGTGTATAGACAAACTCAGGATGAAATCACTTTTTGTCTGAGATCATGCTGATGGGTGGAACTGGCAAAGTATTGTCATTAATATAGTTAGCTATTTTGCTACCCACAATATCAATCTCACTCAAAAATAATTCTTTTTTGTTGTTTTAGTTTGTTTGTTTGGTTGGCTTTTTTTTTTTTTTTTGACAGGTTGTCTCTGTTTAACAACCCTGGTTGTCCTCGCAGAGATCCACCTGTCTCTGCCTTCTAAGTACTGGGATTAAAGGCATGTGCCGCCACCACCTGGCTGAAAATAATTCTTGGAATTGCAAATCCACCTGTACTAAGTGGTGATTTGGTGAAAGGAGTGTGAAGAGCTAACAATTTTTTAAATCTAACTTATTTAGTTTAAGTGCTTTATCTAGTTGACTATTTCTTTTGTGTACAAATAGCTGAACTTAGAGGAGCCTAGTTGTGTCTTTGTAGCATTGTGCTCATGTACTGTTACTCCAGAGCTTTCTACTCCTACCCCTTCTAACCTTCCTAACTTTCCTTGAAACTTAGTGGCTGACTCAGCTTTTTTATGTGTTCTGATGTCATAAACTTTGTGTTGGAGTGGTATCATTGCCAGGGCCCTAGACTGGCCATGCATGCTGTTTGAAGCACATCAAGTCCCACAGTGCCCACAATAAAGGATTTTACTCCTTCCAGTTTAGGATCTTTCTCTTGGACAACAGGAAATCTGTTCCTTTAAGACTTAACATCCCCAATTCAATTTGTAGGCTGTTTGGCTATATTGTCTTTCTTTAATGACATCAGTTAACTTATTCTTTTTAGTCTGTGAAGCCTGATGTCCCAGTGGATTTTGTATAATTCTCTAGGAAGTCTGAGGACAGATTTTCCTGTAAGCCTCTCTTTTTTTAAACTAACCTGTGCAAAACATTCCAATCTGTTTATGAGTAGACATAACCATCATAGGTTAATTCCTTGTTAATCCCTGTCTTAGTTAGGGTTGCTCCATTGAAACACCATGACCAAAAGCACGTTTCAGAGGGGAAAGATTTATCTGGCTTACACTTCCTCATCACAGTTTATCATCAAAGGAAGTTAGAGCAGGAACTTAAGCAGAGCAGGAACCTGAAAGCAGGAGCTAATGGGGAGCCCAGGTTGAGGTTCTGCTTACTGGCTTGCTCATCATGGCTTGCTCAACCTGCTTTCTTATAGAACCCAAGACCACCAGCCCAGGGATGACACCACCCGCAATGGTCTGGGGCCTCTCCCACCAATCACTAATTAAGAAAATGCCTTACAGCTGGATCTTATTAAGGATTTTTGCTTTGCTTTAAGGGATTTATTGATCTCTTCCAACAATTTTTTTGTTTGCCTCTTTTCTTTAAGGGAATTTTTCATTTCCTCTTTAAGGGCTTCAATCATGCTCATGAAGTTATTTTTAATGTTGGTATTTTCTGATTTATCTGTGTTGGGACATTCATGTCTTCTTGCTCTAGAACTGTTTGTTTCTGGTGGTGCTGTGTTGCTCTTTGCATTGTTTACTGCATTCTTACCGTTTTGTCTGCCCATCTCTTCCTCCAGTCGGTATGGATAGAGCCCGTGCTGCAGTGGATCCCTCTTCCTTCAATTGGTGTAGCTGGGGGCTGAGCCCCCAATCACTCCTCCAGGTGTAGATGGGCCCAAAGTTCAGATGGTTGGTCCTCTCCAGGCAGGCAAGACTGAGGTAGGCAGGACTGAAACTGAGGTTCAGGTGATTGGATAGTTTCTGGAGGCCTCTGCTGTCACCATAGCCATGCTGTGTCCTGGCACAGCCTGGTCCCGCAACGGGAAGGGTGGGCAGTGGCGCTGTGTGGAGGCATTCTTAATTGAGGTTCCTCCTTTCAGATGAATCATTCTTCTCTCTCTCTCTCTCTCTCTCTCTCTCTCTCTCTCTCTCTCTCTCTGTGTGTGTGTGTGTGTGAGAGAGAGAGAGAGAGAGAGAGATTGAGATTATTGCGGCTTATACATACATAGAATTTATCATGTGAATCCCTTATCAAGCACTGAATAATTCACATTGTTAGGAGCTGTGACCACATCCATCTCCAGAACTTTTTTTCTTCCCAATCTGCAAATCTATACCCATTACAACCACCCCACCCCACCCCATTCCCTTCTCTCAGCCTCAGGAAGCTGCTATTCTAACTTTTAATGTTTATGAATTTGTTAGGTGCCACATATTAGTAGAACCTACTATCTCAGTTCTTTGATGTCTGTTATGTGGCCTATTTTACATAAGATAATGTCTCCGAGGTTCATTCATGTTCCTCACATCCCTGCCTTTTTAAGGACTCATAGTGTTCTATCCTGTGCACATTCCACACTCTGTCTGTGCATCCGGTGATAGCCGTTTATCCTACTTCCTCCACCTTGTGCCTGTTGTGGACAGCGCTGCTATGAAGACTGAACATTGGTTTATCCACACTGTCTGAGTTACCACCTTTATTTTGTGAGGGGAGTTTATAACAATCCCGGTAGTGGGACTGTTAGATCATTCTGTCTTTAAGGTTTTAGAAACCTACCACCTTCTTCCACAGTGTTTCTGCTTTCTGCGTAGCTCTTGTGGCTGCATGCCTGTGTTGATGACAGGTAGATGGAGTAGGAATGAAACCCATTGGACTTTTACCATCTTGGGATCCTTTTTGTTTAAGAAGACCTTAAGATGATGGGTGACACCAATGGGGAACATTTCCACCTCCTGATGATCAGTGTTCTTATCAATGCCGAATGTTGGGAACTGTGAGAGTTGAGCTTTTTGTGCATAGTGTTATATAGGTCACGAGTAGCAAGGACAAACTCTCCCTCTCCTAGTAACTACTCTTAAGGGACTGAAGAAGCTTCATAAAAAGCTTGTCTCAGGAATGTTATATTCATGTATTAAGACAACACTTGGCTCCCAGGTATAATAATAAGACCAGATTCTTCAACACGGCTCCCAGGGGCCTTAGTCTGGGATTACTGTGTGTAAGGGACCTGCCTCACACAGCATCACACTCCAGAGTCAACCTGCCTCACCCCTGAACAGACTTGCTTCCAGACTTGAACACACAAAAGCTAAGTACTCAAAGAACATTTTCTATTCTCTAGACCTTCCCAGGTTATTTTATATCTACTCTTCTTGTTGGACTTAGTCAAAGTAGTATGTCCACCCTCAGACTGTGAACCAACAAGCTTACTGTTCAGTCTAAAACACGTTTACTTTGTTTTTGTTTCACGAAAGCATGTCAGACCTGCCCTTGGCCAATTTACCAGCTTCAACTAGCAACTTCATCTATGGCCTTGAACTCACTTAGGTTCAGTCCTTAGGCAAAGTTTATTGAGAGAAAGAATTAGAGTAGTATGCACCCTTCCCCCTTCTTGGTTAAAAATCCTGACGTTTATTTGTCCTCTTGATTTAGCCAGATTGTGTAAAATGCTTCGAATCAGCATTTACTTTCTTTCTTGCATACCGGATTCCTTTAAGTGGTGTTGCAATGCTCAGCCCATACGAATCCTTACTGTGTGGCACACAGATGTTGTCTCTTCGCCTCTTTAGTCAGTGACCTGTTTATGACAGTCCCCAGGAGAAATGCCACCTAGCTACAGTGCCGAGAATAGATGTTCTCACCTGAGCAGTTGACAGGCTGTGATCCCGTCCACCACATAAACCACAAGGAAGCCGTGCAGCACAGCCTCAGTCAGACTCCGAGACAGACCTCCTTAGCCTCGATTTTGTGTTTTTCCCTCACTAAATTTTTACTGTTATGTTAATTTCTTATTTACTGTTGATTTTTTATAAGCTACTTTAGTTGGTGAAAGAATAAATTACACCTGAAAAACATGCTTTATATTCTTTCTCTCTCAGAATTTAGAGGACAAATTGTACACAGTTGCCCTGTTTTTAGATGGCTGGAATATACTCTATTTAGTTGCCTTCAGAACCGCTCGTGGGAATCCAGACTGTGTTGTGCTGTTGAGGTGTTGGCCTCTCCATTACCTCTGCAGCCCTATGAACTGGTGCTGTGCTTGACTGTAGCAGATGCCCAGTGAACATCCCTGAGCAGTTTAAACCAAGAGGGCTTGCCCCTCCTAAATGTTCCCACCATACTTCCAGTGGACACTAAGAGGCGAAGTGAAGACACGATGTTCCTGAGCTGGCATCACCTTTGGCAGCTGCAGGGCTTGTGCTGGCACTGCTGACGCTCCCTGTCTCTTTCTCCGCAGACTCACATTTCAAGACTCCCTCCTGGTGCTGTGGCCGGACAGTCGGTTGCCATCGAAGGTGGAGTGTGCCGCCTGGAGAGCCCAGTGAACTGACTCCGGGCTGAATGTGAAGTGTCTGAGAGGCATTTCAAAACCTGAGCTTTGGACTATTTAATTGAACTTGGGTGTTTTATCTTCCTTGTTTTGTAATTCCTATTGCAACCTCGGGCACTGCTTGGGACACAAGTGCTGCTATACTTAGTGCTGGTTGACACTCGGGTCTTTGATGGGTGAATGGGAGCATGTGTGGGTGTGTATCTGTGTGCAGTTTGTGTGCTTGCTTCTCCCTGATGGGACAGGATCTCCCCAAGTGTAACCTATGACTGAGAATGATCAAATCTTTACAAAATGTGTGCTTTAACTGTTTACAAGTAAAACCTAAAGTTGTAGAAAACTTTAATTTCATAAAAAGGTACCAACTGTGGTTGATACAATGTGTCTGAACTGAAGAGTGAATCTCCTTGTTTAAATGACTTGACCTTCATTGTGGTCCATTTAATAAGAGTAATCAATAATACAGTGTCAGTTTAAGTGGTTGGTGTGGTAACTTAAACTGTGTTCTCATCCCTCATACAGGGCATTTTTCCTTGAACAAAGAATGGTTTCAGTGAAACAGTCTAGTGGAGAATTAAGGTCAGAACCTTTTAAAGTAATAGTCTTATTGATAAAGTTTGTGCTTCTTTCCCGAGCTATTTGAAGCTTAAGTATTGCATAGCTTTGCGCCGTGTGTACTGTATTATGAAAGGATATGTAAAGAGAATGTTCAGTAATGCACAGTCTTAATTTGTGTATAATGGAATGTTATTTACAATGTAACACTGTAAATAAGAAAGCAAAGTTTATGGGAAAATTCAATATCTTTGTTTCTTGTTTAAATATATTTTTAAGATAAAGGTACAAAAATAAAAGCATATTACTGGGGACAGCGTGTGGCCACTGTTGCAGACTCATCTTCTGAATCCTAGACTGGTGACTTGTGTCTTATTTTCTTTGCAAAAACAAATTACTTCTTCCAGAATTATATTATTGCCCATCTTACTGGCCAAGCTCCATAAAACGGCAGTCAACCCTAGCAAGAAGGAAGTCAAACTTAAGGTGATTGAAGTCTCAGTATAGAAACACCTACAATTTCCATTGCAACTTGATAAAAATAACAAAGGGAATAAGCAGAAACACTTTGCTTTGAACAGTTGGAACGGCAGCTGGAAGCTCAATGGTGGCGGTTGATAAATTGCTCCTAAATGTTATATTTAGAGACTCTGGAGCCACATAAGAAAACCCAGACTTTCCTTTTATTTATTTCTTTTTTTTTATGTAAGAAGTGGTTATCAAGAAGATACTAAAGATAGACTTGCTCAGGGGGAGGAAGTTTCCTTGCAACATATAATCATGGCTCTGGGCGGTACCTGATAAAGCCTCAGATGAAATTATATACTTGACATGGACGTATGGCCAAATTATAAAGGAAAGACAACCAAAATGAAGAGGGTGTAAATATGAATGATTTGAAAGCTGCTGATTTATATTCCTTGTACGGGCAATTACATTTGTCTCGCTGTGTTCTCGTAGACAGGTTGGTGCCATAGTATCTGTTTCTCATTCTTAATGAGGCCAAGAATTTAGGAAGAGATGGACTGGCTGGTGGGGAGCCTTTGGTTTCAAATGCTTTCAAAGACCTGTTACCTGTTGGCAGGATTTTTTTTTTAAAGGAGCTGGACTGGATCACATAAAACTATCAGGACATGTGGAGTCTGAAAGTCCTCTGACCGATTTCACTAGGAATGCCAGTTCTTTCATCTCCTCTGACTTAACTCTATTCATATTTAAAAGTCTGAGTTTGTTTAAGGTCCCTTTTATGAAGAGTTTAAAAACTGGTCAGCACAATAGGCTACTACCCCTCTAAGAACAGTCTATCAAGACTTTTCTCCAGTATTCTAAATACGTCTTTGTAAGAGATATTGTGGAGTGTGGGGGGGGGGGCAAAAATGAAGTGTGTTTATAAATTCTTTCATTAGACAGTCATGTTCAGTTTCAGATACTGAACCGAAAAGTTATGAACAGATGTAAAATCGACTTCACACAAAAGTAGAAAAGGTAGAAGCAAATAATTAAATAAATTTATTCTCCAGTTCATAGATGTTACCCAGGCTCTCAAACTGTATTTCAAGAAGCCTGCTTTTAGTGTCGATGACCTTGACTGTTATGCCTATATTCAATCTTTTTAGGAGCCAAGAATTAGATGCTTTAATCTTTTACTACAATAAAACTTGGTCTGGATTCCTTAAGCACATCACTGTAACCCTGCTCTGAGTTTGAAAGTGGAACATTTCCAGGACTTGGTGAGAGCCAGTCTGTGAACACTCCTCATACAGGTGGTGCACTGCGCTCTCCAGAACAGTGGTGACCATGTGACTTTGTCATCCTTGCTTGTCTCCGTCATGGGTCTGCCTGTAGCAGTCCCCTTATATTTTGATCTCTTCTTCTAAATGTCAACATGAATTGGGATATCTGCTTATATGCCTGTTGGAATTGTATTTGCAATATGCATAAATAAGTTCCAAATGTTAATTTACAGTGTTTTTTTTAGGAGCAAAAGTAATTAATTTTGATTTACAGATATGAGGTCATCTCCTTGAACTGTTTACAATCCCCATAACATAATTGTTCTTTTGACACAGTGGATGAAGGGAAAAGGACATCCTGTCTTGTTCCTGATTTTAGTGAAAATTATTTGAATTTTTCTCCATTTAGGATGATGTTGGCTATGGGCTTCCTGTATATTCCTTATATTATGTTGAGATATGTTCCCTGTATTTCTGTTTTCTCAGAATGTTTGTTATTGAATGAAGCCGAATTTTGTTGAAGACCTTTTCAGCAGCTGATGAGATGGTCTTGTGTGTTCTGTTCTTTAGTCTAATTATACAGTGGGCTGTTTATTCATTCGGTACCTGAACCTGAATAAACAATTTCAGGTTTGTTTAACCTGAATACCGTATTCAGTCTGCAAATGTTGAATCATCCCTGCATCTTTGGAATAAATTGGACATCATCGCGGTGGATAAAATTTTTGATGTGTTTTTGAATTTTTCTGCTAGCTTTTTTTTAATCCTAGAAATGTATATTTTAAAAATGCATGAAAGCTAAATGGACATAATATTAAACAGACTCCTGATGACTCACTGTTTTATCCTCACAGTTTAGTACAACCCAGCCCTCATCAGAGACGCTTCTGTTTGCAGGATATGGTAATCATCAAAGAGACCCACAACTGGCCTAGATGCCTCTAACCTATAAGAGACTGAGTATTCTCAGTCCTAAATGGGGCATCTCAGAAGACCATTGTCTTTAGACTGTACTTTTTCAGTGTGCCTCAAACAACTAAAGGTGAATATCTGCACCTCTGTGCCAGAGGATACATCTCTGGGATGCATGGAAACTTTCCCGGTCTCTATACACAGCCTGCCATAGCTGTCAGAAAATTAGCACTTCTCCAAAACAACTCCAGATGTGCCATCAAAGTTGAGAAAAATCTGCATCTGAGTCAGTGGGCAGGCCCTGTACTGCTGACATGTGAACATTTTTAAGGAGATGGTGGATGTATGGACTCTGAAGAACAACTTATCCAGGACTTCCACGAGGCGTGGTGTGCATCTTAGAACAGATCTAGACCTGTATTGACAGATGTTGGTGGAAAGGTTACACAAAGGCATGTATTTCTTTAAGGGACCTTAGAGCCCAGGCCGGCTGCAGAGTCCTGTGCCACGAGCACATCTCCATGATGATCATGCAGTAGCAACCTCACATGAAACTCCTTTCAAGGCGGCGTCTTTCAAGCTGGTGTGGTAGCACATTCTCATAGCTTAGCATGTGAGAGGCGAAGGCAGGAGGATCATGAGTTTAAGCTCAGCCAAAGCTGCAGAGGGAGACAACTGGCCAGGGGCTTTTTCAAGTTGTTGTGTTTAATTCTTGGATAGAAGACCTCAAAGGCAATCTAAATAATAGCTGCTCTTCATTCCTAGGAACACTGCCACAAGAGAAGACAGTGCAGAAGAAGGAAACCCTTGTGTATATTATAAGCCTTTTATAGGATCCTTTTAAGAGGAAAAACGTATGATTGGGTGAATGTCATGGGCTATTAGTGAGAGTGAATGGCGGATTGGCAGTGTAAAATTATTCCTTTTACATTCACATTTGTTCTGGGACATTAAGAATTCCTTTCCTCAACAGTTTGGGTTCAGGTTCTGCAAGGTATTAGCCCAGATGTCCATGATCAGAGAGACTGACCAGACTGCCCGGGCAGTTTTTCTTTTCCCACAAGCTTCTGTCCAAAGGAAGGATTAAATCTAACATTGGCCAGGGCATCTCTCCAAGGAGCCCACTCAGCCTCCGGAAGCCCATCAGCCAAGCCCTAGGTGGTTTACCATGACTAGTTGTGGCAAGTGTGGAGGGAACGTGAGCTCAGTGGATTCTCCTTTGCAAGATGCTGTTACCAAAGCCCTAAAACCACAACAGGCAAAACCAGGGACAGGCGAGAGACCCTGCCATGTGTGACTAGAAGGGTTTCTCTGACCCTTTCAGATTCTGAAGCCTCAGAATCTGAAAAAGGAGAACTGAAATAACCCCTCTTCTAGCTTCTGCTGTTCCGTAGCACCCTTAGAGGAGCCTCTTGAAATCTTGGAAGAGCCATCAGTATTTAAGAGAGCAGATGTATTAAGAAAAACTTGGTGTCCACCTGCCTCATGTAGAAGTGATAAGATTTTAATTTTGTTCCCAAACTTGTTAGCCACGCCCTTCCCTCTAGTTAATGCTGACTTCATCCTCTGGGTGCTCTGGCTGCAACTCTTGGGTCATCTATTTGATAGTCCCAAGGCTGAATAAGTCACCCTAGACTTTAGTAGCTTTAAAGAATTTGTTCTCAGTTCTGGACCTGGGCTTAGCTTCCCTCTATGAATTCCCTGCTATTCTTGCTGGTAGTCCCTGGTGAGCCATGCTCAGTTGGAGGGTGACCTAGAGGCAGGATGCATATAACACATCCATGTTTCATTATGCTCAGGATTCCTCTGTCCATGCCACCTACTTGAAAGATCTCAAGAGTTTCAAGAGCACAAAAGCAGACATCACTTAAGACTAAGGTTTGGGTACAGATTGGCCCAGCATCACTTTTGTGATTTGCATCAAGTTGCCTAGGACAGCCCATGTTCAAAGGAAAGGAACTAGAGAAGGGCATGAGTACCAGAAGCCAAGTTCACAGGGGGCCACTTGACATCCCTGAATTTTTCCCTTCTTTCCTATTCCACAATCAGTTTAGCAGTGAGTCTCATTGTCTGCTTTAAAGTGCATGCTGAGTCCAGCTACCATCTCTACTGATACCATCCAGATCATCTGTTTGCCTGCATAATTACAATAGGATCCTCACTGACCTCTCTGCTTCCATTCTTTCTCCAACAGTCAGTTGTTCACTGGAACCCAAAATAGTAAGTATACCGTTATTCAGAATTTTCATTGTACTTTGCTTTTTAGTCCTTCAGAATCCTGAGATTAGCTTTCTCGTGTTCTATAACCTGTTTCCTTCTGTTCCTTTAGTTACTGCTCTACCTACCCTGGCCTTTTTGCTGTTCTTGCAGCATGTCAGAAGCATCACACATTTCTGAGTCAGGGTCTTTCTATAGTTGCCCAGCCTGGTCCCAAACGTGTGATCCTTTGCCCTAGCTCCCAGTATGCAGAGTTGACAGATGAATCCATGTGGGCTTATCCCGGCCTGCGGGGTACGAACGAGGGTCCCTGATAAACCTAGGGGAGAGGAATGAAAGGCCAAGAGACACGAGAAATGATGGCAAGACAGGATTTCTGATCAAGCCGCCCCGTTTATTATTTCCTCAGAAGCTGTTA